GCTGGCCGGCAGCTTCGGCAACTTCCGGCGAGATCGAGCCTCTTTCTTCCGGTTCACCCGCGTGACGCTTAAAAAAAAATGCCGTGACGAGCGACGTCAGCCGTTTCACACTGAGCTCGTGTTACACACTGGAAACTAGCAAGCCGGGCACGAGCGCACACGCCGCGCGAATCGCGTACCACACGAAAAACAAATGACAAGCGACAGACAAGAAGAAATAGTAAGAGGAAGGGCACAAAAAAAAGGCTGCGATAACGCGGAAAACTAGTTGCGAGGATGAAACGTCGCGCGAACACGAAAACTGCGCGTAATAGATCCGGCTAAGAGTTGTAGGCACGCCACGAGTAGAGGTAGGCGACGCTAAAACTTCGCCACGAGTCATGGCACGCCACGAGAGGAGCCGTGGGAAGAGGGGGGTAGAGCGAGACGACGAATCTAGAGGGGGAAGGAGAACGTAGACGAGGGAACCGAAGGGAGGACGATGCCGACCACTCGACTCTTGGCTGCACGAGGGTATAGAGAGGTCAGGGGGGAGAATATGTCGACTCGCCGGAGGGACGTGGGGTGATTGAAGCGACTAGGTTGGAGGGGAGAAGCCGGGTAGGGGCGGTAGAGGATCGAGGGAGGGGAAACTCGCAGCCGGCAACAGCCGACTCCGATTCGACTCAACTCCGTTCTTCTTCTTCTCGTTCTTTCTCACTCTGGCACCCTTTCTCCGTCTCTCACCAACGTACCGTGTGTATTGGTGTATCGGCACATGATTCAAACCTCTCCGTGCACTCTTCGCATACACCGACGCACGTATACAGGGTGGTGTCTTTTGATTCGGAGAAGAGAACTACTCGAAGACCGGTAATGTAGTTTCGCATACGGGGAATTGAATGTTATATACGCAAGGTATTATTCGATTATTGTTGTCTGATTAGTGTGAGCCGGCGCCCGGTTACCGAGAGGCGACGTGACGCCCCAACCTGTGACTTTGGCTATGGATTTCTGCTGTGGTTACCATACTCCAATTTCACGATCATTTTGCGACAGTGCGGCATACTCGTAAAAATCGATATGTATGCATACATATTGTATGTATACATATTACCGTGTATTGAAATTACAGTTTAATGTATCTTTTGTTACTTCCATGACGAATTCAATGCAATTTTTTATGACAACAAATTATTTATTAGTTTTATAACAATGAATTATTTATAAACGATCATTTAATTCACAATCCTTCGACGCGTTCTAACATAGCAATAATAGGATACGTGTCTATATATTTTGTGACTACATACACCATCAGATGAAGGACGACAATAATTTTTTATCAAATCTGGACACACAGCCAGTAAACCAAACAAAAGAAAACCAAAATAATTCCTGGAAATTTCACTATTTGAATATTTGAATAACTGTTTATATAGCGAAGCCAACGATCCGACTAATCCATACGCAAATACGATGTACAAACTCGTGTAGAGGAGTGAATCCGTTTCCGTTCGAAGACACCCGATGTATGCACGTGCACACGCTCGCATAGGCGAAAAGAATACGTGGCTGGGCAAGGTGAGGAACCGAGAGGGTACGACGAGGGCCCTGAGACAGAGCGGTGCGAGCGACAAGGATGGGATGACGCCTATGAAAAAGGACAAGGGGCGCGGTGGGAGGATCGGGGGGACTAGCGGGAGGGAAACGAACGGGAGACCTTGCACAGCGTGGCTCGGAGCCGCGTAGAAAACGCCGCTTTGTGTTGGGGTAGCCTGTGCATAAGAGAGGAAGTACAGGTTTAAAGGAAAAGAAGGCCCTCGTGCGTCTCCGCTGGCGGCGATTCGCGTGCGTAAAGGCCTGTTCACACGGCAATTCTCCGTTCTTGCTCTCTGGAATATCCACTCCAATTGGGCTGAGCCGTGATATTCCGCGCCCGTTCTTTTCTCATCGTGTCGGAAATTGTTTCTCACGGAATTGTGGAGGTTACAGACTAACGACGAACAAATTAGCGCGGGAAAAAAGGGTTTTCGTAAAGAATTCACGTTCAAAGTTTCAAATTTTCTTTTCGTTTTTTAATTTTATATATTTGAAAAGATAAAAATTATATTATATTATATAGGAGGAAAATGATATTGCTTCTTATTCGTCGATATAACCTAAATATAATACGATAATATATCGTTCTATTGTGAACATTGTGAATTATTATAATATTATAACAATGCGAATATTTTCCATATACAAATTTTTTTTACAATTTGAGTTTTTGAAACGTGATGGATAATATTTCTAATTATTATAATATTTATTTAAATTATTAAAATTTCCAATGAAAAATATTTGAAGAAAATCATTTCATTAAGAAAATTAAATGATTGTAGAATAAAAAAAATCCGATAGTTTTATTTTTAGAGAATTTGCGAAAAAATCGCGCAAATCGAGTGTTATTTATAAATTGAATACGCATGTTTCGAATATTTTTTGCGAAGCCAATTTTTTCCCATGCATATTTGAAAGCAACCCGCACTACGCGGAATGTCGATCGAGTTCGCTGAATACCTCGCAAAAACATTGCGAGAAATCAAATCTTTGACCTTCGATTATAAATAACTTAGAAACAAATAGAGTATGAGCACACGGATAAAAATTTTTAGAATAATTTATTTACAAATATACGCACGTAGAATAAATTTTAAAAATGCAAACAGAACAATTTTTTTAGATTATTTAAAATATCTTTTCCTTCGAATGAATAATATGATAGTTTTGATTTATTCTTACTAATTCTGACTAATAATCAATCTCCTAAAAAATATGAATTATCAACTTGCACTCGTGTAATATATTTATAGAAGATTAATACATTATATATAATTTACATACAATAACTAGAGAATCTAGTCATAAACAATACTATGTGATTTACGTATAATATTATATTACCTTGCAAGAGATGAAATCAAATCATTTATAAGTCCCAACCCTTGCCAACAGATGGTAACAGTGTAAACGAGGCTTAAGCCGCGAAACGAAAAAAGAAGCGACGCGTTACGGGGCACCGCGTAAGAAAACTGCATCGAACGATATAAAATAAAAGACTGGAACCACTGTCCCTGACGTTTCTTGGAATCCTCGAACAAGCTCTTCCTGTCGCGGGACGTTGAACACGCGATCTATCAACCGATTAATATACCATATACTCGAAAATACTCATTCGTTAGAATTGTGCGACGTGGGTTATATAAAACCCGTACGACACCAATGTTACGTAAGATCGAACGCAAAATAGTATTCTTTGTTAACGATAACCCATATATAAACATTCGAATTACGTAAAACAATCTTTTGTTTAATAACAATAAATTTATGTAACTGGGAATATAAACTTTACGATGTTTCGTTCGATTCGCGGGATAGGGAAGAACGAGACAAAGAAGTTTCGTGAAGAGGGCGCGTCGATCGACGGTTA